TCTGGAGACTTCGAATATTTTGCGTGCAGCTCGGCAACGGCATCGGTGTAGGCATCGAACGTACTGGCCTCTGCAATCGCCTTCCATGTACTGTACCTGAAAATCTCCGAGAATTTTTTACTCTTCCCAAATAGTTTGTAGGCTTTGTCTTCCACATCCTTGTTGATGTGCCACGTGCAGAGTAAGTGGGTTGATTCAGGAAAATGCCTCTGAATAGGAGTGAGTAAACCCAACTCTCTGTCACTGACAACAACATAAGAATATACGTCTTGGCCTATCAGTAGTCTCAACTTCTCTAGAACCTAGTCGTAACTGGCCTCTTTCTCGTCCCTGATGAGCGCATACGCAATTAGGAAGTTCTGGTTTCACGGCGTCATCCCAATCATTTCGACCAACGGCATCTTGTACCTGTGCAAATGAGACCAAGAAGACAAAAAATATAATCAAATAAAAGTTTACTTAATCAAACACACTATTTAAGGTTCATACTAATAAAGTATTTATAAAGTAACATATCTGTTGGTTTTATACGTGGAATCTATACCGACATACCAGTGATATGTCCGGAATAGATTGATCGACGCAAGATGGGTCATGAATATATGCGTCAACGCTTTCATGTTCGGATCGGATTCTGCATAAATTGTATACTCGCTGCTCACGGCCAAATGCATAAGCTGGGAAAGAACGTCTCTACCGTCGAAACTCTCTTTCCGCAGCTTATCTCTAATGTTATATACCTGTCACCGATTACCGTTAATTATAATGATTATTATAATTTAAAAAAAATATTATATTAATAAATAAAAAAGTATATTAATGCGATTAATTTGATAAAAAAATTTTAACTATCACAATAATAATACATTAGTAAATATAATAAATTTTATTAATTATTACAATAATTTTTACATATAAAAAATTACTAATTACCATAATTAACTTCAAAAAGTTAATTAAAACATATATTACAAGATATAAATATATATACTTGTCGCACATGAACGTTGTCTCCCGGATTCTTTTCCTTTAGCGCGGCCATAATTTTTGGCCGGGGCCACCTGAGCGTCCGTCATATCACGAACAATTTTCTTACATGAAGCGCTGAGGCCGCTCAACTGGCGATGACCCTCAGGATACACAGCAAATGTATGGTTATGGTAGCCCTTCTCTTCATTGCTACATCTACAGATCCTCTAGTATGGAGCGTCAGACACCTTTTTTACTTTGATCTCAAAATTGCAGCCGCACTTATTCGTTTTTGTCTTTCTAGAATTTCTGCCTGTGCCTCTGTACCGTTCGCCTCTACGGCACTTCAAAAGCCTGACCGTTTTCTTTTTGTTGCTCGAAATTATTAATAAGAAACCATTCAGCATCGCCTGGTGTTTTGCAGCTTCAATAGCGTCCTGAGCACTATTATATAATGTACAGGTATCGAAACTCAGACTGTAATCAACACCATCTCCTCCAAAATCTTCCCATGACTCCTGCTATATAGTACAATATTTATATTTTTAGAACATGTTAAATTGAGATAATTAATTCTAAAATGTAACATAATAATTTGTAACTCATGACATGATATTATCTAACGTCCAATTTATAGCATAATGAAGTCTAACATGTAACACAATAATTTGTAACTCCTAACACGATCACGATAATATCTAACGTTCAATATATAATATAATCAATTATAACATGTAACATAATAATTTGTTACTCCTAACACGATACTATCTAACGTCAATTTATAACATAACCAAGACTAACATGTAATATAATAATTTCTAACTCGTAACACGATAATATCTAACGTCAAATTTATATTATAATCAACATGTAACATAATAATTTGTAACTTCTAACACGATAAACGTCCAATTTATAGCATAATCAAGTCTAAAATGTAACATAATAATATAGTCCAATTTATAACATAATTATTTCGAATATATAACATAATAATTAAAAAAAAAATGTCCGACCGGCCGTCGTTTTCGGACGGCTGTTAAGCCGTCCGGCCGGCCGGTTCGGACATAGCCCGTCTGACCGGCCGAACTAACCGTACGGCTTTTAACCCGTCTGGACCGGCTGGCCGGACGGCTTAAAATCCGTCCGGTTCCGGCGGCCGGACGGGCTAAAAGCCGTCTGGTTCCGACGGCCGGACACAAAATTTTTCGTATCTCGGAATTTGACGACATTTCACCGTACACTTTCCTCTGAGATGTTTAGAAAAAATAAAAATGGCAAAATCGTCCAAGAGGGACGGTGAGTAGTAAAATGGGGGACGGTAAATAGTACTGCCCGTAAGAAAAATAAATGCATAACCCATTCATTTATTATGTTTTTCTTTTTTTGGAAAATGGGGTGGTTGGATGGGCTGGGTTAGTATATTTTGGGCTACACACTAATGGGTATGGAATTGAAGTATGAAGAAATAGCTCTCTAGTGATGTGTGGTGCAAAAAAGGGCTACAAAAAACTGTTTTCAAATAATTTTGCCTTCTTGTAAAGTATTTTCATTTACAACAGGATGTTGTGTGAAGTCTCATTGAGATTAGATATAATGGAGTTTTGGAAACTTTAGGGCGTGCTTGCATAAAAATATATTGTTTCAAAATGGTCTTTTTTTTGTTGTTAATCAAAATTAATTTTAAAAATATAGTATAGATAGTTGTTAGTGCGATTTTGATTTTATATTACAATAATATTTAAAATAAAATAATTATATTTAATCTAATAGAAAAGTAGGAGAGAAATGATATGAAGTGATAATTAATTAAAATTATGTGAGTTGATAAATAGTGAATTAAAATTGATGTGATGTGTAAGAATAATTGATTGATATTATTTAGTAATTATATTAATAATAGTGAGAATATTAGAGTTGAGTTAAGATTTTGAATATGAATTGAATTTTTTAAAAAACAAACAATATCTTAATTATTCACAAATTTTTGGTAGACATATCCTATTATGTCAATAAAAATGCATATTTTTATTAAATGTATATAGTCGAGTCTAGCTAAAGTTTCACGAGTTTACTATATTTCAGTAAAGCTCGAGCTGAGTTCTTAAATCGTTTATTAAAATGATGAGTACGAATTCATACATTAACTGGTTATTTTGTTCGGTTCGGCTGGAATAGTACTCATAAGCTGAAATATTCATGCGAATTTATTTTTATTATCGTTTCCTCATAAAAATGAAGTTTACCTTTTATGTAAGAACAAACTACTTGAGATATAATGATTACTTAGCCTATATGGACGTCAACTAGAGCGTCAAACCTTAATTATGAGATCCTTTAACTAACTAATCCAACTGATGACTTGTCATTAAATTGTTGCCTATAATAATGCTAAGACAGGTGCATATGAACCATAACGTCAGATGTGACTTTTTTCTATTTTTCCATGTTTACTTATCCTATCATTCTTATTAAGTGGAATAAACAGGATTTCAAAAAAGAGGTATATTTAATTTGATTTAATTACTTCATATAATTGACATGATAAAACTCCAAATTAAAGAATTTAGTTATAATTTATTTGGTTGGTACAACTTATAGCTAAATAATATACTCATCGTGCATAATTAACATATAGAACTGTTATATGAAATACATCATTCGTAAAATTGGCTCAGCTTGTTTGATAAGTAAGTCAAGCTCGAGTTTGTTCAGTTAATGAGCCAAGCTTAAGATTCGTTAGCATTAAAAAACAATTTTTTTTATGTAAGTTTATGATTTTAAAACATAAACCAACTATATTCGATAAAGACACGAACTCGAATTCGAGTATTAAAAGTTAGAATTCGATCGACTCAACTCGTTTATAATCCTACTATCATGTCAACCATCTCCATTATGTAAAAAAATATGAATAATAAATGAAAAAATTGAACTATTCATCATACAATTGAAGGGCACAAAGGCAATTTCACTGAGTGAGTAGATGAGAAGTCAGCATCAAGAGACCTATATATATCACATCATTAAAGAGTGTGTTGTTCCATCACATTCAATGACATAAATGGGCAGAATTTGACAATGAAATGGAAAATTAGTTGCATGTTTTCCGTTTTTTATTTTTCTTTATCCTAATTAATTTTATGATTAATGTGCCCTTTCAACAATTCTATTCTGTTGGGCAAATTGTTAAACTATAATCTTTTATAGCATATACTACATCAGAAACAAAAATATTACTATACTTTAAAATAAATGTGTATTTTACAAAAAAA